ATTTCACGACCCGCAGCTCCCTCAGTCTGAGTTCACAGGTAACCCAAACCTCACTTCGTCATCAAAACTGTAGGCTCCCGCTTTGAAGCATTAGCGTCGTGGAAGGTTGTCCGATAATTGAGGGCATCGTCCTTATTCAGCTCCATTATTTTGGCATCTGCAGCTATCATGCTGGCGTCAGGGTGGTGGAAGAAAGAGTTTGAGGAAGCGCTTGGAGGGGTCGGTGCCGATGGTAGCGGATAAAATCCTTGTCCATATTGCAGAAGAAGAAGAAGCAGGAGTCAAGCGAGTGGTACTAATAGAAAGACCACTCCTTGATGTATAAGTGCTCACATTACCGGTTACCCCTCTTCAGGTAATGGGCAAGTATTTTGAGTTCAAAAAAAGTGACAGAACTTTCCCGCCTAATAGGACCCTCTCGTGATTACAGTTATCTCAGTGGATCAACACAATCGAGATCACAAAGCTATAAGAAAAGGGTCATGTTTGAAAATGTGAGGCTTTATCAAGAAACCTGGCAAAATTAAATATTTGTGTGGCGTTTCCTGTAAAAAATACTGGAAACCAACAAATTGGAGGAAAATGTTGTGTTGTACCAGGCGAAGACAGTGCCAACTTAAGCAACTACCATGGCTGTGGCTGCACACTGACAGACACCTGTAAAGTCACTAATACTCAATCGAGTCTCCCACGGTGCGGTTATGGCATTATAACGCGAATACTTCCAGTTCTCCAAAAGGAACTCGTCGTGTTTGTTTGGAGGTGGGGCAAAACCTCGTCAGAATGATCGGAGTACGTACTGAACCCATCTGTCTCTGGAAAGCTGAATGGACTAGTCACCGGTGGTGACCTCCCCTACCTTACACGATTTTCCTTGATCTTACTGCTAATGTCATAATTGTAATTTCTCAAGATTTCAGGATGCTTTCTTGGTAAAGTGCCCTGCTCAATACACGTGTCTACCAAGCGGTGATTGCTGCGAAAACAGCCAAGTAGTTCTTCCTCGTAAGTTTTCAGCCATAATCCCTTGGAGAGAACAGAGAACATTCTCGGAAAGGAATCTGTTGAGGGGGTTCGAGAGGGGGTTTGAGCTAAGCCATTTATTATACCTAAAATTAGGACGTCTTCCTGAACGTTTTGGTGTGGTAACAACAAAGTTGAGCTACAGTATTGGTCTCAACAGAACACTCCGGAGGGTTGAAAATTAATTTGAATTTCACAAGTTACTCCCATGAGCCTCTCCACTGAACTAACAGCAATGGTATTCCGTAATGATGATGATGATTGGGAATAAATTATGGCCTCATGCTGCTGACAACTCTTACAACGAGTATTTTCATTTAGCTGATGAGTGCAAAGATTTCATGGAGCACTGCGACAGCCTTCAATGCGATCATGTTGACTTTATCGAGTTCGCTCGTGCCAACTGCGCGAAAACGTGCAACTACTGCTTTGAAAACTCCACGCTGCCACCAGGTTCGTTCAGCTGGCTTTCTTCTTCTCGGTTCTGTGACTTCGCTGCTGTGAACGAATTACCTAGTACTGGTTGTGAGAGGCACTTTGGTTGTTGTAAACGCTGAGACTGACAATGAGAGGTGCTACACTCCTCAAAATCAACATGATTTCACTTTTTTTAATATTCCACAGTGATCTTGTGTGGATTCACTTGGTCGATTGCGCTTACCTCATTAGTGTACGTCTTCTTTTTGCTGAAAAGGAGATGACTCTATGAAGAGGAGGTTTATTCGTTTGTCTTCACCCACACAAGCGGTGCGGATGGTGGGGACTGGTTGGAATTTTCGTAGGCAAAACTAAACTTCACCCTAACCCATAATCGACCACGCGTTTGTCCTCCATGTGAAGTGATGGAGGCACAGATGTTCGAGTTTAGCGTTGTACTAATTCGGAAGCACGGTTCGGGCGGGGGAGCCTAGGTAGTGGTGCATAAAGAGGAAGAGAAATTGCCGAGTGACTCGTTTGTGAAGAGAAAATGTCAAAGGGAACGTCCGAAATCAAACCCCTCCAGCCTCACACAACTGTGTGGGCTGATGGTTAAAAGACCGCATGAGGACGAGTCCAGCAGGCTGATTCCTTGTCGTGAACCCTATGATCCCATGAGAGACAATGGAGCATCCATTTCACTCTACTTCTCCCGATCATCTATCTCCCGATATCTATTCTCCCGATAGCATCTCTTTTGGCTAGAACCGGGTCAGGAGGAGGAGCTACTGGGGAAAAGGAGGTATCACTGGAGAAGTTTTCGCCGCAACTCCTTTACTTTACAACTTTTCGCCGCGAAACTGGCACAAGGATGCCCACTGGGGACCACATTACCCTTCCCAGCATTGCAAACCGTTCCCTTAAACCCGTTTTTCCTCTCTCACGTATTACGCTAAAATAGATGGCTCACAGGAAGAAGGTCAAGTGCTCCATCAGGATTACAACCCACCAGGGTGTCCCTTCTGGCTCTGGCTTCATCTGAGTACTGTGGTTATTAGGCAGCGTTCAGACTTCGCGACGGCAGCGCTTCGACGCGATCGATGCAGTCGAAAGCATGCGCATCGATCGCGTCGAACGCGCGACCGAGCGCTGCCGTCGCGAAGTCTGAACGCTGCCTTATAGACACACCTTATCCCTGACCCAGAGTAGGCGTGGCATTTGAACATGTGGTTACGTGAAATGTACTAGCCCGGGACGACTGTCATCTTGTTCTGTGTTGGACAACACGACAACAATTGTGTCAAGATGAAAATATCTCACCAGAAGCATAGACTCCTTCAGGTTAAGTTGAAGCATGCAGCCACGCCTACCCGATCTCGGGGATTTCGAGTATATAATTTGGTAGCCCTGCTGGGAAATAGCCCCTTATCTGTGACAGTCAGAGTGGGTCAATTTCCGTAGAGATTTTTGGAAATGTTGACAGGTCATTCAGATAGGCGTATCCTGCTCCCATAGCAATGCCCGAGAAGAACGTTCTTTTTCCAGAACAGAGACCAAGTTGGTTTATAAGTCGGGATGTAATGGTTGCAAGCAAAGTCTAAGTGCTCGAAACTAAAACGGATTATCCGCAACATTCAGAGTACTCGTGCACGGATCTGCTCGAGGATTGTCACGATCGCTTGGATCTTTGTCGTGACAAGGATTTCATTGATATGATGGCGGTATTTTGCCCTCGATCGTGCATGCTTTGCACCCACAGAGCACGAGACGAAGAATGCCACGAATTAGTTGATGAGTGAGTTTTACGAAGTCCTTTTCTGCTCAAACTTTACTGTACCCTTGAGAAAGTTTGGACTCGAAGGTTAAAAGGCTTCTAAGGGCCTCATTAGCCCAAGCGTTGAATTTATACATATCTACCTGGGCCGCGTCTGCCATCTATCTCTTCTCTCTATTCTCTTGCCGCTTGTCTCTAGCCTTCCTCCACGCCCACAGTATCTCTTCGCATCTCGCTTCTTCGCATGCTAGTCCAATGTTAAATGTCAACTAGAGTTTACAGTGCCTCATTCGAGTGAAATTTTGACTGCTTCGTGCCTTTGTCCTCAGTAACTCAGTAGGATCCAGAAATCCATATTTGGACTTTTTACTGCCCACGACCAGCGAAAGAGGGGAGATATCTCAAGCAATTGAGGAAAAGTTGCTCCATTTGATTAATAAATTCAAAGAGATGTTTAGCTGCGCATCTCGTGAGAAGTTCTGCACCACCGTGAAGACATCAGAATACCAAAAGAGAATGGGCTGTGGAAAGACTTGTGGAAAGTGCTGAACTGCTGTCTCCGACGGACGGACAGCGTCACAACAACATGACAGTGATAGCGTGCAATTTCTGCCGCAAATGTTTGCCCTTACCTTATAAAGCAGTACTGTTGGTTTGTTGCTATGTAAGTATAGTTAATATCGTCGCAATCGGGCTGCGCGGTGCAGGAGCGATAAAATGACCTCCCCCTTAGTCGAACACTGCTCTTTGCTCTGCAAATTGTAATAGGTTAGCGATATAGTGAGTAAGAAAACAACCAAGGAAATGCCGTTGATGGGCTCATTTCATGCATTCCATTCCCTTTTCCTAACAGGGCCCCGACTGATTGCTACGATATTAAGTGTGAAACTGTGAGACACTGTAGCGGCGGGGGGATGCACGCAGCAATGTACTACAATCTGACGCCTTGTTTGAGTTTCCGCGTAGGCTATAGAACCTTTTCGAAGCCAACCCGAAGAAAATAAAGGAAAATTTTTGGCTTCTGTCCAACTCGGTGCCCTACAAACTAGTTCCTTCTTCATGCCCGGTGAATGCTCTACGCGAAAGCAGTGTACCATCAAGCAATCACTGGTCATCAAGTAAAACTCCAAGCGGGTTAGTCTTCTGTGACAATACAATGGCAGTTTGGCTGCATGGAACCCCCAAGACGAGTTGAATTAATTACGGCTGCGCAGCGGAATTCCGCGACCCCTGCTGCAGACGCTGCATAATACCTATTAAACCAATAGAGGTGCCCCTTTTAAGCGCTTATCACCACAACATTCAGACAAACATACCTGCCACACCAACCGCCCAACAAAAATGGAGCGACCGGTCCTGACGCCTCTGATTTGATTCATTTGACCCTAAGCCAAATATAGAGGTCAACGGGATTGGTATCCGACAGCGCCGTCGATGCTGCATGAAAAGATAAACCCAACTACAGGGGTGGCCAAAAAAAAAAAGTCACTTTGACCAAGTCACATATCAACGAAGTTTTCGCAGCCCAGACAGGGGAAGTGGATATGAGTACCAGAGTGGAAGATACCCAAGATCTTCCTCTATAAGCTGGAGCAGGCTGCCGCCAATCGCCTTCATGTACGCCAAAATATGAAGTCATCTCCAGTCGCGGCCTGACTGGAGAACACCTTTGGAATTCACGTCGTCTCCAAACAGCCTGCGCAAAAACTTCTTGTTTGAGTCATCCACAGATAGCTACCTGGAGGTCAGTACTCTTGATATGCAAGACCTCCCACATCGAGCAGCTTCCTCAACTTCGCTACGGTCTAGGACATCATCTTCACCGTATTCGCCCGAGGCGCGACGTTTTTTTTTTTTTCTTTTTTTATTTTTTTAATGAGGCATGGACCGGGTTACCTGGAAAGGGGAAGACCGGTATTTTCTTTGTAGACCCCGACTGAAGGTGAGCGCTGGCGGTTACATCAAGTAACTCGAGAAGAATATCCTCCCTACATGTGGTCGCCCGTACCACCTTCTTGGAGACCTTGTGCTGCTACAGGTTTGGGTGCCACCACATGGAATCAAAGGGTTTGGAAAAACTCCCGCCTACTTCGAATGGAAGGGCGTTTCGTACCTGAAGAAGATGTAATATATTGAAGTATGTCCCAAAACTTGAGACCGCTGAAAACCCACCTCATTACCTAGCTCGGGCGGACTTCAAGAGGGTGGTCTACGGTGGCGGAGAAATCGACTACTTCGCTGATCTCAGGTACCACATCGCGGTCGCGTGCCAGAATCTCTCGATGGCGTTCGTCCAGAAGGCTGTGGCGGAGTGTCGTGATAGTACTTAATGTGCTCTTCAATATGGTAGTAAAAATGTCCGATCAGAATTTGATAAAGTGTAATTTATAGCGCCTCGAAAGTCAATGAGGCAAAGTGACTTTTTTTTTGGCCACCCCTGTATAGTGCAACAATATGGCAGCCCGTAAACTCTGGAGGCGGTTTATTGGCAAGATGTCCTAACAGGAAACATCGTCCACAATTGATCTTCTAAACACAATTGAGAACGCGAGGTTCTTTCTTCGAGCATTCGATTCTTGACCGTTCAACAAGCATTCTTTCGCCATTGCCTCCACTGCATAGCGCTAGTATTTTAGGCCGAGCACAAAATCATCGTGCCAACTGCCTTTAAGTGTACAAGCTGAGTCTGTGCCCACCCCCCCCCTCCCAACACCCCCACAGTGATCATTTTGACCCAAAACACTCTCACATCCCTTGACACACAACATCCACTATTTAGCGTAACAGAATTCAGCAAGTCACACACATTGGATTTTAGTTATCTTATGATCTTCTAAACGCGTCTTGTGGTAATCAATATATATCAAATTAACTTAATACACGAAAGAGCTGTGAAGAGAGAACAGAGCCTCCCTATTTATAGAGAGCCTGACCGCACCGCCAGTTTCACAGGCTATGTCTGGGTGAGTGCTCTGGCGAGAAAACTAGAAACATTATTATCCGTACAGATTGCATCCACCGAGATTTTTTTCGTGAGCTGAAAGACTACAATGCCGGGCAAATGGACATACAGAGCGAGAAGCCATCCATTGTCCAGGAAGTAAAGTTGAGACCGATGATCAGTTTCGATTTAGGGGCAAACACTATCCTACTTTTTAATCACGTTCTTTGACCGAGCACAGTCCATTATCCATTCCTGAATGATGTATTATTAATGGATTATGACCCAACCATTGCCCTTCCACCGCTGGATTCTCAATTATACTGACGACTCGCGCCGCTACCAAGTATCCTCGGTACTTCTATAAGAGAGCAGTGGATAAGAGTTTTCGATCCTTTCGGCCCCTAGTTCTCAATTTTGCCACCTAGACAGATCTTTGAGTTAAGTTTGTTATCGCGGCGAACAGTGCACCTTTGACGCATATTCTCTAGATCATGTTAGCCCATCTACAACAAACCATTTTTTCTTAGCCTCAAGTAAGTTGCTACTCCACAGTCCTGTTATAGACCTTCCGTTTTACATTATTTCCTGTACAATTCCTTCCTGCATCTTATGCATGAATTTTGACCATGTCAGTCTTTTTTTAAACATTTTTCAATGTTAATCTATTCCTTTCTCCTTCCCCGTGCAGTACCATGTCCATGGTCGGCAACCACCTCGTCGCACTGACGAGCCCGGGGTTGGTAGACAATCGTGTGATTCGTGCTGCGATAACGGGCGAAACGGATCATCAGTGCTGTGTATTCCTTTCCCCGATGTTTGTTTTTCTTTGTTTCTATTTTCCAGTTTTTCAGAATGCTATCTTATAGAGCTCGACGAGCTCAGTCTAACCGTGTAGGGTTCTATATGAGAAAAGTTCACACAAACTGAGTTATAGCCTATAGCGGAATCTGACCGGTTTTCAGGAAGAAGCTGATGACCTACTTACCGAAATTCGACGGGTCATACACCGTTAGACTCGCCACGCAGAGACGAATCTAAATGTATCTTTTGCTTCTCCCATAACCCTTTTTGAAAGAAGTTATGGCAGTGCGGCGCGCTTTGCGGCGGTCTGCGGCGGATTAATCCGCCTTTTTTCCAAAAATTAGGGGCGGTATTGTATGCAGGCCGTCTACATGATTACCCCGACGTCTTAATGCCTAATTCTGTCTAGGTTAGCCCAGTCGTAGGCTTCAGGAACCTTCCTTCAGTGTAGTGATGTTGGCCACTACAGTTCTTGCCCAAGGCCAGCACTGAATTGAGTATTTGTTACACAAGTGGAAACTGTGGAACCATTCGCCGCGGCCTCGTCTGAAGTGCTACATGAACAACTCAGCGCTTATGTCATTCACTCTAGAGCGAATGCCCATTCATAGGCTTTTTTACAGGTCTTTCCTTTCACTCAAAATTTTCCAAAGCCCTTTTTCATCCTTTGAGTTCAGTGTTGCCTGCTTAGTTATCGTTTGCTGTCTGTCAATTCTGTACCCATTTCTTCGAGCTTCGTTATGTTCAATATCTTCAGACAGGAGAATAGGAAAGGCAGATAACAATCCGTAGTCACCTAAAAATCTAGACTCCTCTGAATTCACTTTCCTCCCAATGTGTTGGGTGCACGTTAGCCACGGAGGATGTGCCGTTTTCGCATCTTGAGAATACGTAGCATTATCCTGTGCTGGCCAGAAACCCGTCCAATCAAAAAAAGAGGTCCCGTCAGCGTGCGACTGGCGTGTGTGGCATCCTATTGACTGTCCTGCCCTTGTCATGTATACAGGGGGAGCCAAAAAAAGTCACTTCGACCGAGTCACATATCAGCAAAGTTTTCGCTGCCCAGACAGAGGACGTGGATACGAGTACCAGGGCGGAAGATACCCAAGATGTTCCTCTATAAGCAGGAGCTGGCCTTCATGTACACCAAAATATGAAGTCATCTCCAGTCGCAGCCTGACTGGAGAAGACCTTTGGAATTCATGTCACCTCCAAACAGCTGCGAAACTTCTAGTATGGAGTCACCCATGGATAGCTACCTGGAGACCAGTACTCTCGATCTGGATGACCTCCAACATCGAGCAGCTCCGACAACGTCGCCACGGTCTAGGACATCATCTTCACCGCAGTTGATGGTATGGACCGGACGTACCTGGAATGGAAAGACCAATATTTTCTTCGTGGACCCCGGACTGAAGGTGAGCGCTAGCGGCATTGAGCAACTCGTGAAGAACATCCTCCTCACGTGTGGTCGCCCGTACCTTCTTGGAAACTTTGTACTGCTACAGCATTGGTGCCACCACATGAATCGAAGGCATTGGAGAAACACTCGCCTACTTGGAATGGAAGGGGGCTGAGTACCTAAAGAAGATGGAATATCCAAGTAGGTCACCTGACCTGAATCCCCTCAATTACCCGGTTCGGGCGGAGTTCAATAGGGTGGTCTACGGTGGCGGAGAAATCGACTATCTCGCTGATCTCAGGCACCACATCGCGGTCGCGTGCCAGAATCTCTCGATGGCGCTCGTCCAGAAGGCTGTGGCGGAGTGTCATGATAGTATTTAATATGCTCTTCAATATGGTG